ATCCCTTAAGATCTTAACTTCGAGCATATAACTTGCTTCACCCAAGTCCTTCATCTCAAATGTTGAGGACAACCACTTTTAAGTAGTGATAATCATCTCCTTATTATTTTTAGCTAATAAAATATCGTCAACATACAAAGATAGAATCAAGAAGCTATCTTTAGACCGTTTAACATACACACAATGGTCTTCATCGATCATCGTAAACTCATTAGAAGTGATAGCTCGATGAAACCTTAGATACCACTGTCTGAATGACTACTTCAGGCCATAAATAGATCGTTGGAGTTTACAAACTTTGTTCTCCTAACCCACCACCATGAAGCTCTCAGGTTGATCCATGTAGATCTCCTCATCCATTTCTCCATTAAGATATGTAGTTTTAACGTCCATTTGATATAATTCTAAATTCAAATGTGTGACAATAGCTAGAATCATGCGAATCGAGACAAACCTTACAACTGGAGAAAAAGTTTTCTCGTAGTCCACACCCTCTCTCTAGGTGTAACCTTTTGCCACTAAGCGAGCCTTGTACTTTTCTATGGACTCATCCGCCTTGTGCTTAATTTTGAGAACTCATTTGTTCCCAATGGCTTTGCGCCCAGGTGGAAGTTCAACCAAGTCCTAGACTTGATTGGCCTTCATTAACTCCATCTCGTCATTCATTGCAGCTATGCACTCATTACTAGCAGGTGATGATAGAGCCTCTTTAATATTTTTAGACTCGACATCATCATATGAAGCAACCATAAAAGTTTTTCCTTCAATCTCAAAACGACGTCAAGAGATGGTTGCACGCTTACTTCTACATAACTCTGTTTCGTATGGATCTACATCTATTGGAACTAATCCACTATTGAGTATATTGCTCCCACTGTCCCTAGGAGGTGACGAAACAATTTTCTTGATCTCTACTTGGTTAGTGGGTATATCTCTTTGGAGATCATCTAACTCATAGAGTTCTATTCTTTTAGACATATCTCCTCTACTAGGGAAATCCTCTTCAAGAAAAATTGTATCTCGTGACTCAATTTCAGTTACCCTTCCATCAAGTTGTTCACCTATAAACACATAACCCCTAGAGTGCTCAAAATAGCGGATGAAGATACATTTCTTTCCTCTAGGACCTAACTTCCCATATTTATGAGAAGTATTGTGTACAGAAGCCGCTGAACCCCATGACCATAAATTATTCAAATCAAGTTTTGTGTCTGTCCATAACTCATATGGGTTAGAAGGAACTGATTTAGGCACTCGGTTAAGGATATAAGCAGCAATCAATAAAGCATCTCTCCAATATGAAATTGGAATATGAGTCTGTGACATCATAGACCTAACCATATCAAGCAAGGTGCTATTTTGTCTCTCCACTACACCATTTTGTTGCAGAGTACCAGGTATTATGAATTGCCTGATTATTCCTTTTTCTTCACACAACTCTTTAAACTGTTCAAATAGATACTCGCAACCTCGATCGGTTCTAAGAACCTTAATGTTATTGTCTCATTGATTCTCAGCCTCTTTAATGTAACATTTGAAGCAATCCAATGCTTCGGACTTGTGAGAAATCAAATAGACATGACCAAAGCGCGCAAAGTCATCTATAAAAGTGATAAAATAGGATGCACCATGTCTTGTCTTCACATTCATCGGGCCACATATATCCGAGTGTATTAATTGCAATTGAATAGATGCTCTTTTGTCCTTACCAAATGGTTTTCTAATTGTCTTACCTGCGAGACAATTTTCACATGTGGGCAAGTTCATTTTAGTGAGTGGGCCTAATAGTCCCTCTCTGGCTAATCTATTCATTCTATCTTGCCCAATATGACCTAATCTAGCATGTCATCTAATAGAATCAACATTATCCACAGATATAACATAAGAATAAATTTCATTACTAGAATGATTAATATCTAATGCAATAAAATCATCTGTGATATAACCAGATCCATAGAATGTAGTTTCCCTATAAATGCTAACATGCTGGCTTTCAAAACGAGAAATAAAACCTAGTCTCATTAAGCTAGTAACTGACTACAAATTTCATTGGATTCCTGGAGCATATAATACATCAAGAAGGTATAAAGTGCGCCCGTGTCGCAATTCCAATTTGTATGTGCCAATCCCAAACACATCTATACTGATCTTGTTCCTCATGTAAATTCATTTGCTTCCAGCTGGAACTCGATGGTATTCCACAAATCCGAATCTGTGTCTTGTTATGTGGTCTGTTACTCCTGAGTCTACAATCCACAAATTAGAAGAGTGAGCAACAAAAACTTGACTAATAACTAAATAGTCAATGCGAGAAACAGAACTAGAGAATGTCTTCTTCGACCTAGTGCATTCACGAGCGAAGTGACCCTTTTTGTTGCACTTATAGCAAACCATGTTGATTTTATTTTTCTTAGCAACTATTTTACCCGCTTGTGCTTGTTATAATTAGAATCACCAGTCCCAGTTTGAACATTAGACCTTTTTTCATCGCTTTTCCGCTTGGACCTGAAGGTCTTGCGCAAGCCAACTTTTGTCACATAGGAGCTACTCTCACCTTTGATAGCCTCTAAGCACTCAGCCTCAAGCTCAAGGTGACACAATACATTCTTGAATGTTTTTACAGTCTCATTATGCGTCATGTTTCGTTTCATATGCTCCCATGATGGTGGAAGGGAACGAAGTACAACTTGAATTTGTTGTTCATTGGTCAACACATAACCAGCAGTGTCTAAATCACATATAATAGAGATCATAGCTCTCAAATGTTGTTTCATTGTATGCTTTGACTTCTTTTGATATGAGTCAAACCTCACGGTCAAATCACGAACCCTAACAAGAGAAGTAATATCAAACTTCTTTTTGAGAGCCTTCCACATGGCGTGAACTGTGGAGTAATTCTTGAATTTAAGAAGATTATTTTGCATGCTCGTTTGCATGGTATAGCGCGCAAGTCGATCCTTGTTCTGCCAAGACTGGTAATTCTCTTGTTCTTGGCGGGTCTGAGGTCGCTCAGGCTCTGGCAACACTGAGTCAAGGGTATTCAAAACTTGTTGCTCTTACAGGACAAATTGAATCTTACGACACCATATGTCATAGTTATCGTCGTTTAATTTGTCGCCCCTTAGTTAATTCAACCACTATGCTTTTAGTAGTCATTAGAATTTAATCTACATGCAGAGACAATGCGTATGAGATATTAGCACAACACATTCTATAATTTTACCACAAAAAATCTAAATTTAAGTATTAACAACTTTCACAAGTCGCGAGATCAAAAGTTCACTAAGTTCTCAATCATCACCCGCACCACAGGTGATTATTAATAATACTTAATTTAATTAATGCACAAAAATTCAGTTTCCTAATACTGAACAAAATAAAACTTTCACTAAATTTAGTATCTTTAGGCATACTGATCACAATTAATTTCATATCATGCATGTTCTCAATAAAATAAACATGTTATTCTATATAACACTAGATATGAAATTCTAATTTAGATCATGCTAAACAATGAAATAAATACAACTAGTATATCCATCATACTAACATTACTCTATATAAATTAGTCATAGGCTACATAAGCAATCACGCATTTATTTCAATCTTTTAAACAATTAAAATTTGATCTCATAAACAATTGTAATAGACCATGATCTATTCTTTTTTAAATAATAGAGTTATTTGATAAAAAAGAATTACAATAAAATTCATCTTTTATTTTAATGCTACTTATCAACATGAAAAAAAAACATTATATATCTCTACAAGTTTCAGTAGTTCATGTACATATATGACAACAAAAAATAATGAGTCAAGGTCACAAACACAATGGGTCCCACAAACCCATGTGCATTTATAAGAAATCTGTCACCCACAAGTTGCTTCTCACTGCTACATGTGCAGTGTATTATGGTATAAGAAACTTCACAAGAACAATTCTAATTCTTTACTTCTTGACAACCATAATACTTATGAAAAATAGAACCGCATCATACTTCGCCGCAAAATGTGAAGTCTTAATCAATTCATTGTGAATCGACGATGGCCAGATTCATTAAAATTAATGATCTTATTTTTTATTTTAAAACAAAATTTAAAATTTCAATTTTGTTCTCAAATTGTGAGACCCGCAATTTTGTTCAACCATGGATCATAATGTCCTAAAAATTTCAAGGCATTCGAAGACCGTTTATTCCAGATGCCATTAAAACTCATTCGAAGCTTTTTCACAAATAAAATTTCATACGAAAACACCCTAACCTGGCTCTGATACCAATGTTGAAAATCGTATACATATTGAAAAATATAGGATCAAGAACATACATTTTTCACTTTAATCCTAAATTCCGTTTGAAGATGTTCCCCGTACTTTAGAATCTGAAAATTATCTTTTCTTCGATTGCTAGAGCAATATAGTGTTGTTACACAATAGGAATCAACACCAAGTTTTCACAACACAAAAGCCTTTTAATGCTATGTAGGAAGAGAGAGAAATAAAATATGAGACCTTAACGTTTGAGTATTTATCAGAGAAATATTTCATTTATTGGATTACTTTGAATTTATATAGGCGACCAATAAGCGTTATTAAAAGACACATTATACAGGGATATATCTGTTAATATTTAACTGACATATATTTTGAGTGAAGTATACCGTTTGGTAAATGATACTTCTCGGTAAAAGGTACCTCCAAAAGACATACTCATTTGGGCATTCTTTAATCTATGTCAACCCACCATGGGCGCCCCGGTTAGGGTCCATGACCCAACCAAATATCTAACACAAATAATACCATACAATCCATTAGCCCCTTAGGCGGGCACTTCCTGGAGTAACTGTTCAGTTGGAGCAGAATCGTCTTCATTGGACACTAGACTCTCCCCAGTTTCACCCTGATTAGGCAGTGACTGCATGGATTCTTGATCTGGGTACACTTCAGATTGCAGAGATGGCGTGACGTTATTCACATGTAACCACGCCACAGTTCCCACAAGCTACCTCCGCCCAGAGCAGTCCTCTGCACCAACACCTCCTTTGTCTTCATAACAAGCAAGGTGTTTTTTACAAGCTCCGGGACTCGTTTCTGAAGCTACTCGCTTCTCTTCCCTCTGACTTTCTCTTTCAAGTACTTTTCCATCCGGCTGAGAACACGCAGCCATAGTTTGCAGAAGGTCGTTAATTGCAAGAGCTCGTGAAGCAACTGTAAAAACGCTTTTGACAGGAGTTTCAATGCAAGGACAAGAGTCCCCTCCATGTTTCGGTAATCTGTTTGGGAGTGTCCCTGGGCAATTTCAAGCAAGTCATCAAGCACCGTGAATATGACTAAATCAAAACACTGCAACCATAGTCCGTGAGGAAGGTGGACACCATCTACTCCTGTCAAACACATTTGCAATGACGAGAGCATGGTTCCTAACTACTTCTCTCTGATCCAAACAAACTTTTCTCAGTCCCTGCACAAGCCTCAGCCACATTTCCCCTGTATCCTGACATGTTTTTACAGCCTCGGCCTCTCCCATAGCTTCCTTAGCATCTTGAGCCCATCTTGCTAAACAAGCGACAGAACCTGCAATGAGATCTAGTGCATGCACAGACCGATCAACCTGTCCAACACGTGACTCAGCAAACTGTCTTGCAGCATCAACACAGAGGACATCATTGGCCGGCATTAAGTAGGCTCCTTCAGACATGATAAACAACAGTGCATCGAATCCTGCTTCAGAAGATTCTGGGTGTCGAGCTGTGATGGAGTAGAGATGTGATTGTAGGCCACCCATTTGGGACCGGATGTGTGTAGAGTTTGCTTTCACCAGACGACTGACTTCCTCTGTGATTGCTCACAGTATACATCAGCAACACGGGCATCAAGCTTCAGAACAAGTTGCAGTGACCTCAGCAGTTCATCAGCAAGGTTCTATTTATAGGGAAGCAACCGCTGGCAAATCCGTAGTAATCCAAAAACAGCCTTCTCATCCAGGGCACAGGGCATCACAGTTGACTGTTGGATGTCTGCTCGTACACATGCCAGAGTAGCCCAATTCTATCCCTGTTGTTCAGGGTAATTGCAATCAGCAACTCTAAACAGAAAACTGCAGTGTCTTCATCATCAGGAGAACTATTTCCCTTTTGAGGTCGCCCAACAGCACAAATGAGTGCCCGTGCAAGCTGTAATAAAGAATCATCTTGCAAAAACTCACTCGGTGAAAATACGGTCAATGTGGCACTTCTGAATTGTCTGAAGGGTGCGTTGATGAGCAGCTAGTTGCTGTTCAGTCGGTTGCAATCTTGGTTCCTCTGTATCGAGAGATAAGAGCGGACTGAACCGACCCATCAGTCCAGAAGATCTCCTTGGATTACCCATGGATGTCATGTGAGCTGAAGATAAAGAATTTGTTAAGGGCTTACCATGTCCAGGTTCAGAAAAGAGTTCTGAATCATCAGTTGCATCACTGGCCACACGACCAGGAAGAAGACCAAGCTTACGCAATTTTAAGATGCAATCCAGGTTGTTCCTCCAATCAGCACGGATGAAATCACCATACCTATTTGCAATGGTAAAACTATTTCAGTTGCCATCCTAGATTTTGTGTCATCACCGAAGTCTAAAACAGGTTCCTCAACAGAAGACGGGTTCAACAGGGTCGTGAACTTGCAAAGAGACACCACCAAGTCATCCAGAACATCTTCAAGATGGTGGCATGCAGAAACCTTTGCAACAGCTAAGTATCCATCAGTACATGTTTGGTATACATCTTCAAATTCTGCATGATCAAATACCACAGAAATAGCCGCAAGTGTTGGGCCTGACATTATAGCAAACATATCACGGTCCAGATGAGCTCTGGAATCTGACACAATGAATTGTGCAGTTTTATTAAATTTGTGCATTAGATCAATCCAACGGCTTGGTGTCATTTCAGGGAAACCAGCACCTTGTTCTGGGATTGTGCGTATCTCATTCTTGCAGATTGCATAGTACAATTCTGACAAGAATTCTCAAGGGAGATCATTTCCCCCCGTTGATGTGCCGATTATTCCGGATAAAATCTTCTTCTGTCATCTTTTTCTTAACTTGTACATTGTGCTGATCTGTGTTGAGCAATATTAGTTAGTAGGGCAGCAACAGAACCGCATCGTTGTTAGCTAAAATCAGCAGTGATTGCTCATAATATCTCTCTGAGTGAGAATGCCTCTAGTACCCTTTGTATCTTTTGTGATTCTCCAGGCAGTCTGAAAGTTTCCAGAACACAGCCGCAGTATCCAGATTCATGTCTTGGAAATTAAACGTCCCGGAAAATTCATGAAGGACCTGAACACAAAAGTTGTCATGATTGCCCACTAAATCCCCAACAAGGTTCTTATCTAACCCAGCAGTGTACCTGAAAAAGCAAGCCACACTCTGTGGGTCAAGTTTGTCAGGCAAGAGGTGCATTCCTTGAAGAAACTCAAGCCCTTTGTTGGGATCCCCGATTAAATTGATCAGCACCAATCATCAGCCTCCTTTTAGTATCTTTCCTCCGGCAGACAAACGGTACCCAATGATCAGGATCACTATAGTTGTCACACTTCACCATCCAAAAATGGGGTATACTCCTCAAGACTTATGGGACCTTGTTCTGAACTAACTAATCCATTGCTGATCCTCTCAGCCATTCCTTGAATTACAGAAATTAGACCATCCAAAGCAAGAATGTGCATTGCAGACAAAGGGCAGTTCAGAAATTAGACCATCCAAAGCAAGAATGTGCATTGCAGACAAAGGGCAATTCACAGGAAATGCACTTTTTGACAATATATTGGCAAGATCTTCAAACACATTGCCGCAAGTAATGTCGCAATCTAGGTTAGCATACATCTCCACCACAAATGCCTTCTGCCTGCAAAAGTCAACAAGAGCCTCCATGGCAACCTCCTGCTGCTGGTATGAAGCCCCATAACAGCCTTGTGCAAGCCTCAAAATAACACAGGAAAAGAAAGATTCAAACTGTAGTTTGAGTTGAGAACGCAAATGATGATATAGACTGAGAACAATGCTGCAAACCATTGAAAAAATTAGTGGGCTCGTTGACAAGCCAAATTGCATCAAATTACAGAATAGTTCATTCTGAACCAAACTCAACAGCCTAGGGTGACGCCAAATAGAAGGACCACCCAATTCAACTGCTGAATTGATCAAACCCAAGGCAAAAATCTTCATCAAAAGCTATAGTATTTGATCTGGGACCCAATCCCATGTGCTCAACAACATTCAACAATGAACACAAGAAGTGAAATATCTCCACCATGCAAGGGACCCCATAAGGCTCTGTTATCAGTTGCATATCATATGGGCAGCATCCATCCCATTACCAAGAGCAATTATATTTTCATCCATTGGAAGCATTAGAACTGAAACTTCCAGAAGATGGTTGACCATCATATCTGGATGTAACATTACCATTCTCTAAGTGTTTACTCCCAAAATAGTAAGTTGTATCCATCCCAGCAATCTGCATGACAGAAAATAGTGTCACCTACCTTCCTAATGAAGAATACTAAATAACTAGGGCTGCAGGCTCTTCATTTCTAGCAGAAACTGCATACTAGGAAATCATACAAAATAATTTAAGGAAGGGAAATAAGCAAATTAAGATGCAGACTTACATCTCGTTTCATAGAACTGCCCCTCGTAACCAATGAACACTCTGTGTTGTCCACATCTCGAAGGTGTGAAAAAATACACCTAACAAGTTCATGCATTGTGTGACTAGCTATCCGCTGCAACAGCTCACCTTTTTTTCCTGCTTGATGTACTACATGGAATCATGTGTTTACAATTGTGCAAACATGTTGGTTACTCAACATAACACATGCTTTACTTTTCAAGCAAGCCTGAAGAACCTGGAGTATCTTCGTCAGGACCACTTCTTCTGATGCAGGATCAGTCACCTTGAATCTGCAGCTAGTCACAGCGTCCACTACCAAGTGCAAAACATCTTAGACGTTTACTGTGTTCAGATCAAGCACATCAAGAGTCAAAATCTTGTAAACAGATGACAAAGCAACACCTGTGATTGGTGCCCCAGTTTCATCAGATAGAATCAAATCCAAAAATGGCTGAAGATATATGGTTGGATTCATGGAATACCACTGATGCTACCATGAATATAGTTGCCTTCGTAATGCCTTAAAAGACTGGATTAGAGAGTGTTCCAGCTTATCATCACCCGTCATATAGCGACCATCCCATCTCACATTCCTCCTCATGACAGCCAATACAGCACCTATTTCTGAATTAATCATACATCCTAAAGCAAATTTATCAGAATTTGACGTTTCACAGACTTATGGTTTTTCTTCAATGGCCTTGATTCCAATTGCAGCTCTAGATGCCCCAGGCTAAAGGTTCTCTCTTCTCACTAACATCAGACACAAGTGACCTGGGATTAGCAACTACAAACAGAGAAAATCTCAAGCCAGACTAAGTCATGCCCTTCACAATCTGCATGGAAACCCAATTGATACACTTAACAGGAAATCCATATAATTAAGAAGCTGACAGAATCTTAAAAGTAACATAAAAGGGGCAACTCCAACCACAAACAAGTGAAATGCATCTTGGGAACATACTATTTCAAGCTTCCCCAATAAGAATTCAAATGCTGTATTGTACTACCTTTGCATAAGATACCACCATGCTTCAATAAGCTTTCCAACACTAATTCTGGGAATAACAAAGGAGCAGCAGCAGTAGTGTACAGTGGCAAAACCAGGTGTGGGACTATACCCACCCCAAAAATATCCATTCCCATCCCATTAAAGTCTCAACTATAAAACTACTAAGTTCACCCCTTCTATATACACCCCATTATAGACTAATCCCACCCCATTCTTCATCCACCTCATTAATAACTAAACTTATTCCAAGTAAAACACATCACACTCATAAACTATTCCTACCTCAATATCTTCTCATTTTTAGGGTTTCTATGTATGCGATGTTTCACACACTTGAACGTCATATATTCAACTTGGTAATCTAGCATGGATTTCTCAACTTGCAACCCACTAGCTGCAATTCTACAAGCTGGATACCAAGGCTGCTCAAGTTAAGATCATGGAATGATGACAGAACAAAACTAAATGACGTCTTAATTTCGCTTGCTCCGCATGGTTCAAAGTGGCGGCCAATACCGATATGCTAGAACTCTTTGAGTCCGTGGTAGATACCGCGACCTTGAATCATGGCTCCGAGTGCCAAATGAGACTTATTTCCCTTTTCTATAATAAGAATTATTTGCAAGTGGTGAAATTTTATGGTTTGATTCCATTCAATACTACGTTTTTGTGCTAGAAATTTTCCAATATGGGTTTGACAGCTTCTTGATTTCTTTCCTACATAATTGATATCATGGAACAGTTCTTTTATATATAAACAAAATAGTTAGTTTGATCAAAAAAGAACTTCGAATCAATCATTTGTAATTGTTGGGGCTTGATCTCTCTCTCTTTCTCTCACACACACACACACGAGACAATGGTGAGATTTGGATTGAATTTAGTCATTAATGGGGTGGGGAAAGAATGGCGTGGGGTTAGTCTATAGTGGGGTGTGTATAAAAGGGGTGGGCTTAGTAGTTTTATAGTTGGGACTTCAATGGGGGTGGGAATGGATATTTTTGGGGGTGGGACAGCATCACTGCTATAGTGTCCATCACAGGCACATCACAGCCCCAAACTATTTCCATCAACAACTCATTACCACTGCCTCCCTTTTCCACCCACCAACTCTATTAATGCCACGACAAAAACCAGGTATCTCAATTGCACTGCACCACCAAGAGTTACCTGGATCGCTAAAATGTGAACGACCCACGATCTAGGTCGGACGACCCCAATCGGGTGTGCGTTCGTTTACCAGTTAGGTACAAATCCCGACCCCAATTGGAAACCCTAGCTTCAAATCAACCCATCCCCAATCTCAATTTTAATCCCAAATTGTGGCAAAAATACGAAAAAAAGAAGAAGAAAAGAAACCAGAAACAAACACAAGAAGATGCCAACAGATGAAGTTGATGGTAGGAATACATACTTGGATCCTACTCTGTGAGAAGATTTCACAATGGCACTGATGGGACTTTTCTGAAATACTCGATGATGAAGACATGTGTCCTCGGTATTACTAAAACACTATAGATAAGATCAAGCACCATCGGCGCATAAAGGTCCTCGCCCCTGAGGTACTCGTCATATAGGATCATGGCATTCAGTACGTTTTACAACCGACACATGGCCTCAGTATGATATAGTACCTCGGTCGGTATCCATCCCTCGGTTCCGAGATGAGCCTTTCCCCGGTGCCGAGGTGTACCCTGTCCTGGACGCCTCCTCTAATCCAGGATAAGCTATTGACGTACAGGTCATTAGCCTAGGCTAGTCTAGGCTATTCATCATGACCTCGTCTTACACAGTTAGTGTCAGAACGTACTGGAATGCATGGGTCACAGCCAATAGGGGATGGACGCGTGGCGTATGATATCACATCGAAGACAGAGAAACCGCATGTCGTTGCTGACACGCGACTTGGGAAAGCAAACTATTAATTACATCATTCCCTTGATGAGACCGCATTCAATGCGGTAAGGCTCGGAAATGAAAGGTAATAAATGCTCCTAATACAGTGCATTTATTGCATCCTCCCCGAGAGGAGTACATTGTACCGTCGGCATCCCGATGACACAGCATTGATTGCTCGGGACCCCGAGCAGTTAAGAAAAGAAGACATTCCTCATCAGAATCAGTGCGCACACTGCCTGTACCTAATGATCACCTACTGACTACACTGACAGCAATCATGAGCTTTTGAGGTATAAATACTCCTTGCAAAATGCAAGACGGGTATGCAACAAAAAACTCTTTACTACAATACACACTCAGTGTTTTCTCCTTCCTTTCTCTTTCTCAAAAACTGACTAGATCGTCGGAGGGGATACGCCGGAAAACACTCCGGCGCCCTTCTAACTTGTTCTTCTTTGTTCCAGGAACCTCTTTCAGCCTTACTGGATCGTTCTTCCGCTCCCCCAGGGTCTCCTGTTGCCATTCCAGGTTACCACCAGACCTTGAAGGCTGTTCCAAGCAGCGTGGTTGGTCACTCAACTGGCTCACTCAAGTTCACCAAGGGAGAGATCTGTTCTCATTTTTATATTGTGTAGGATCTTGCATGCACAATCTGGCATCGTCTGTGGGAAACAACTAGTTTTTCTAGTTTTTTTCTCTATAAAGAACAGTGACCATGGTGAACACTCGACAGAAAGGGAAAGGACCCCACCAAAGGAGTCTCGAGTTACAAGCTCCCTGTCATCACGGAGGAAGGGATCACACCAATACGAATAAAAGTGCCTCTACTCGGTCAAGAGGGGTTACCCCTCAAACCAGTATGGGAATCAGGTCAGGGGGATCAGCCCCCTTGGCTCGTCAGCTGGCGGAGGTGATTGAAGAAAAATTTGGCGATAGATTACGTCAGCTGGACAAGGACAATGTAAACGTCCTAAGCCGGCTCAACGAGTTTGCCGCCTCTGGCGAAGGATTGAGGGATTCATTCATGTCTCGTGGGCTTCCCGCCCGGGAGGCGGAAACGAAGGATCTAAGAAACCACCTAAACAACAAAGCAGAAAGCTCTAGGGCCCCAAAGCGACCCAGAGCCGGCGAGCATCATCATGACAACCATTCAAGAAAAGCAAGGCCATTGGCCCTGGACGACCTCCGGCGAGGTTTGTCTAGACGGAGGAAGGGAGATGAATCCGAGGAGGACTCAACCCAATCCACACGACGCCCAGGAAATGAGGGGCTTACCGATGAACTCAAGGACTTCAGAAGGCATCCCGTCAGGGAAGAGATTGATCTCAGAGCCCGGTTAGACTCCAGGAGAAAGGGTAAGGCTGTCCAGGATGAGGCCGAGGACGAAGTCATACAAACACCCTTTACGAGGGAGATCAGTGAGATGGAGGTTTCAAGAAAGTTTGTCGTGCCGCGGTTCAAAACTTATGACGGGCGGTCCGATCCCGAAGCCCATGTCAGGCAATACAAGCAGATGATGTCCCTCTATCATTCGGACCAACGGTTTCTCTGCCGAGTGTTTCCTATGAGCTTGGGGGACTCTGCGATGAAGTGGTTCGAGGCGCTTCCCCCCAACAGTATTGGGTCCTGGAAGGAATTGACTAAGCAGTTCCTGGCTCGATTCATTACGGGGAGTAAGCGCCCCAAAGACATTGGATCATTGCTGACCCTCAGACGGAGGGAATCCGAGACTCTTCGCCAGTACGCCATCCGATACTGGGAAGAGGTTAATGAGGTAGAAGGCTGCTCGGAGGTCATGGCAGCAGCATCTTTCCGGCTCGGCTTGGCAAGGGACACGGACCTGTACCGATCCCTGACCAAGAAGACTCCCTCGGATATGGGGGAACTAATGGCCCGGATAAACAAATACTCGAGGGTTGAGGACGAGATGGGAAGCAACAAAGGCCGAGCCCTCCAATCTAAGAGAAAAGAGAAGGAGCGGGAAGATATTCCCCGAAAGGGATTGCTACCCCTCCAGGGGGTCCGTCCAAAGGAATTCACACTGTGTTCAAGGAACCCATCTTCAAGCTGCTCCATAAAATCAAGCACGAGCCGTTCTTCAAATGGCCGCCCAGGATGCAGAGCGACCCCTCCACCCGTGATCAAAAGGTTAGGTGTTCCTATCACCGGGATTTCGGGCATCGCACCGAAAGCTGCAGGGTGTTCAAATCGTTCTTGGAAAGCTTGGTCCGAGACGGATATTTGAAAGAGTACATAGAGCCCAGGCCAGAAGAGAGACGAGCCCTTGCCCCGACCGAGGAGCCGGACAACATCATAGATGTCATCCATATATGTCCCCTGGATCGCCCCACGTCCAAGGAACTCGAGTGGTAGCCGAGGTTGATATAGGGCCACCAAGTAAAAGGGCCAGGACGGGTGAGCTTGGCATTACATTCTCCGACGCGGATTTGACAGGCGTAGTGACTCCTCATAACGACGCCCTTGTCTTGACCCTGAGGATAGGGAAATTCGATGTCAAAAGGATTTTGATAGACTCTGGAAGCTCCTCGGAGGTGATGTACTTC